CGCTCACATCACAATCTCCGCAGGAAAGTAAAAAAAAATGTTAATTTTAATAAGTTGGTTTTAAATAATAAAACTTGTTTCATTTACCCGTCATTTTATAGGTATGCCGGTGAACATTGATAAATTTAGACCAAGATCTACTTATTTTACACATTGCCGGTGGAACAGCAGGTACTCTATACAATCCCTAGGAATTGTATTCATTACCTAGGTAAAGTATGTAATGGATAATAACATTCATAAAATTTCATGCATTGCCTGGGCAACCCAGGTATTCTATGTATTGCCCAGGTATTGTATAGAATCCCTAAATTATAAAGATTATCGGTAACATATGTAAGTCATTCTGCAAATAGGTGTTCATAATCGCGATCGGTGATGCAAAGTAAATTTTCGTAACCAGTTACGTAAATGTAACTTCTGAACCTATACCCCGGTTGACCCTCTGATCTACTATCTTACACTTGCCAATAAATGAAACCTAAGATGGTGAACATACTGATTTCCTGACGTTCAGGCTGCTTCAATAGATTAGAAATGTTTACTCCCCCACCTTAAAGCCGTTTCACTTTGCACGTCAGTGGCGCGAAAATTTTTGAAAATGAGATGTTGTGTTTTTTAGGTCTGTAATGACATCTATATCACGAAAAACTTCATCACTCATTTCCGTCTGTCTCCAAAGCTTTGTAATTTCGGTCCAGTAGCGGCGGCGATATAGGCAAAAAACTCCGTTTTTGACGTTTCAGGGGTTCTTAATCATTGTCATAAAAAATATAGTGCTTAAAAAGTGGGTGTTAGGGGAAGGTGATATTAAATGTTGCATCTTCTGATATATGAAACACGTTCTATTATTAAGAAATTTATCCCGATACGCGTCCGCAGTCATCCTTTACTTTTTTAAAGCAGCGCCGACGACCGTCTAAGACCAGCCCACTGACGTTTCCTTTTCATCCTCCCGTTACCTCGGGAGATGGTCCTTGTGATCGTGGAAGCCGCGTTAATGCGTATTTCTACGTTTATCGCAGATACGCCCTAACAGGGATGTCTTCATTATTTCTTACCCACAAAATAGAATACGCATAAATAAACTGGGGATGATTAACCCCATTTTCTTTACAAATGGAATTGTTTTTACCATAAAGATAGATTGTTTACGTTAAACGCTTTTCGTGACTGAGGTTAATTATCAGCTGGAAAAAGACAAATGATTTATGGATTCCATGAAAAAGGTTCAGCCATTATTTCACGGAATATTTGTACATTTACATTCATCATTGTCTGTTTACCCTATAATATATAATTTTTTATATCCCAGTATAAGAAGCGATAAGATTCTTGCTGTCTGCTTCACTGACTGAAATGAAAGTTGCAAACATTGTATTTTAGATATCTATAATATGAGAACAATGAGGAATCGACAATTAAAACTAAATAACAATTAAGATATTGCCGACCCTGTTATATCACTGTAAATTAAAAGAATTTATAGACGATTTATAGATTCACAGTTGCTATGCACACAGGCATATAAGTCAAATAGGAATTGATTAGGAAACCAATAGCTCTTCTAATTTATCTCAATTACTAGGATACGTACGAACCCTGCTAACTGAACATCTCTAAAAAAACATTCTCAAGACACTTACTCACCCTTATGTTAATCTTTTGATGTGAATGATGTGGCCACACAGAGGTTCATCTGAAATCAAAAATACATCATGTATGAAGCTGCCTACTAAAAGCGTAGTCTACCTTAACATATTGCTGTATCAACCACAGTATAATTGTAAAAAAGGAGTAAAATAAATTGGCCCACAACTTTTAATTCATTAACGTAAATGTCAAAGTACGCATATGCATACTAGAGACATACTAAGCGCACTAAGTGCGTCTTCTAAATCTGCCTCCAAGTTTCGAAACAAAAATAAAAACGTGATCACTCTAAGAAAATTCTTTAGTATATCAAAAATATTGAGATTGGGAACTCAAATAGGATTTGGAACATTCTATATGATGCTAAACATTTTTGAATTGTGTCCTCAGATACTTTATATATATAAAGATCAGTTAATAGAATTTTACGTTATTGTCTAGGAGCAATGCTTCGCCCCCGCACTAATAGAAAATATCAAATTTTCTACAAAAGCAGGATCTATTTTCAACAAATAGATTCATATTGAAAAGAGAAAAATGAATTTTATAAAATATTTTCACGGGTTTTATATTTGAATAAAACTTTAAGCATCATGATATAGCCAATGGTTCTTGGATACTTTCTGATTATCTATTAATATTTACTCGGACAAAGTAGTTAGTCTATTACATCAGCACCTTAATTCCCTCCCAGCGATAGACTATTTAAAAATAATTAAGTACACCAGGAGATTTCAATAGCAACCATTAGCATAGATGCTACTTGCAACAGCACAATATCTACGTCCAGCTGCGAATGGGAGTAAGCAACCAGAAATCCGTAGCTCATTAGCCTGAATCCAATGTATCCTTGAATACAGCGGGATTGCTGCCTGTGTGGGTGCTGCGTGTAACGTAACAGACAGAAGATCGAATGCCCTTCGTTCCTAATCCCCAACCGCCAATTTACCTGTATACACGCTGGTACGCTGGTACGGGACATGCACTCAATCCACTGTTGCCGAGTCGTCATGCTGACCACTACAATACAGTTTATGCCCAGTATGAGACCAAGAAATAAAGCTAACCAACAAACATAGGTGTTCCAGAAGGCATTCGACACTATGATCCACGCTAAAGTATGGGAATATGGCTTTAAGGGCAATGCTTTGTCTTGGATATCATCATTTCTCAGGGATCTCCTCAGATTCTTGGGCAAGTTCTTGCGGTTTTTAACCTTCAAATTCAAAGGAGCATATCTCAGCTTTGCCAAAACTTTTTTAATCAGGATAAGAACCATTAGAATCAGTACACTTTTGTCAACGAGAAACAGGTTTATTTATGCCGCTAACGTAGAAATCCGGAGTTCTGGAGGCGATGAACTCGTTGAAGGCATTTTTGGCATCGTCATGATTATTGAAGCATTTCTTGCGAAGGAAGTTGTTTGAAAAAGTAGTAGTCGGTGGGCGAGAGGTCCGGCAAATATGGTAGATGAGGCAGAGTTTCATAACCCAATCGGCTCAGCTTGAATTCAGAATTGGCCCCTTCATATTGACCAATCTAGGGCACATACGTCGGAGCTGCATTTCGTCGACTTGTTGGCAGTATCTCCATCGTAATCGTTTCGTCCTAATTTAGAAAGCTATGGTGGATGAGACCGGCTGCAGACCACCAGTCACCATAACCTTCTTCGGATGCAGTGTTGTGGAGTCTCGTTGCTGTCCGATCATTGAGCAGAACATTGCCTATTGTCAAAGAGAATCCACTTTTCATCACATGTCACAATACGGTCGAAAAAGGGCAGACGCCATCTCAAAGCGACGATTTTTCTGATCTTCGCTCAATTCGTGCGGTATCCATTTATTGATCTTTTTTGAATTTTCGATCCGTTTCAAGTGGTCGGAAATGGTCGCAATACCCACATCACGGTCACGGACAGTGGTGCATGTGTTTGCTTCTACCGCCTTGAATTAAACATCATGAAGCAGGCCACTGCGCCATTCATCTTCAAGGCTCTCATCACCGCTGCGGAATTTCTTGAACCACCATTGTGCCATACGTTCGCTAGTGGTTCCTTGTCCAAATGCATCGCTGATATCGCGAGCTGCCTCGGCAGATTTTCGACCAAATTTGAACTGGAATAAAAAATCCGTGCAAATTTGCCTCTTGGCCATCCTATATTTAAAATCTTAAAATAACAAATTACAGTAAAACCAAACGAGTACAATAATTAGATAGAGCGAAAAACACGCTTTAAAATGATATATAAAGTCAAAGTATTATAAATAAATGTTAGTGTAACACAGGTTATTTTAAATATAAATAATAAAAACCGCAAGAACTTTCCGAACAGCCAAATAGTAGGGGCATAAACATCGGTGTCGCCCAATGATCAGTATTAGGTCCCTTCCTTTTAGTAATATATGTACGTATATATCAATGACTTAAATGATCTGTCAGTGCCAGCCACATAGGGGATGCGGATGACACTTCGATACTCATTTCGAACAAATTGCAGTCGATACTTGAGAAAAAATGTAACCTCGCGATTGGCAGTACCAACGGTTAGTTTAAAAGAAATGGATTACTTACGGAAAAAACATCATCTCTGAGGTTCCAGAACAGAGAGACAATTTGACGCTATGGGTGGCAAATTTTTCCGTAATGACAAATAGCTGTCAAAGCATACCATTCCTAGGTATGCGCTTAGATTCATGTTTTAGTTGTAGATTTTATTGCCAACTATTAATTTCCAAGCTACACTCATTTTTGATGAACAATTTGAAGTCAGTGCTGAGACATGATCAATTCCCTTTGCTGTACCATGCCCATGTAGTAGCAGACTTCATTATGGTGTATGTTTCTAAGCACAACAGCATCGCATCAACCGTTTACCTTGGCCACTACAATCGCCTGACCTATCTCCAACTGAACATGTCTGGGACATGATAGGTCGCAGGCTCTTGAATTTGCAACACCCTCCACAGACTTTAGCAGCTCTTACTCACGAAGCTGCTGTAGCCTGGAATGCGATACCACAACAGGATATCGACCACCTTATCAGCACGGTGCACAGGCGTGTCAATGAGTGTATAAGAAGTCGTGTATCCTCAACACATTATTGAACCAGCTGCTGCAGTCAGTTGACGAATCAAGCTGAAAATGTAATCATTTTACTAGTAAGCGACACTGAACATACGAGGGATGTCTTTTAAGTTTTGCATATGGAAATAAAACAACACGGTAGGTAGTTTTAATTGACTTTATTGTTTTCCGAGGTATTCTCCACGAAGATTAATACACATCTGCATGCGCTAGAACCAATTTTCGAAGCACTTATTCCACTCGTTTGATGGCAGTTCCAAAACGGCATTTTTGAATGCGTCAACTGCTTCTTCTGGTGACTGGAACCTTTGACCACGCAGTCTGTTTTTAATTTTCGGGAAAGTAAAGAAATCGTTAGGACTTAGATTCGGACTATATGGAGGAAGGTCCAATAATTCCACGTTTTCTTCCGTTAAATACTGCCTTATTTTTGAGCTGTGTGCGAGCTTGCATTGTCTTGGTGGAGGATGATTCTTCCTTCGGGGTTGATTTTTCGAAGCTCGGTGATGACTTTTGGCAAACAAATGGTGGTACACCAATCCGCAGTAACAGTTCTGGGATCATTAAGAGGAATTGTTGCAATATGACCCGCTTTTGACACAAATGTCGCGACCATCTTTTTCGAAACACTTCGAGAACGGATGACTTTTGTTGGCTTTTCTTCACCTTGGAACACCCAAACAGCCGACGTTTATTTTCTGGTTCATAACAGTAAATCTACGATTCATCACCACTAACAATGCTGTACACATTTTTTGAGTTTCCGGAATTGAAACGGTCAAGCGTTTTTTTGACACCAATTAACCCTGGCTGCTTTCTGCTCTTCAGTCAACTGGCTGGGTACCCGACGAGAAACTAATTTTCTTACTCCTAATGTTTCATGTAAAATTTTTTGAATTGAGGTCTTTGAGATATGCCGCGATGTCAGATGTCTATCTTCAATGATGAGTTTGCGCACAGCATCGACGTTTTCCAGGGTGACTGCCGTTTTTGGTGCACCCACCCTGGGATCGTCGTTAAGACTCACCCGTCCTCGTTTGGATTCTCCATACCAACGGGAAATTGTCGACTGATGTGGGGCTTCGTTGCCGAAAACAGACTGTAACTCAGCAAGGCATTCTTGTTGCGATAATTGTCTCGAAGTTGTAATAAATTATGGCGCGAAAATGTTCTCGGTTGAGTTCCATTTTTCTAATGACTTGGTGACACTTAAAAATTCACTGTAGTGAGAACACTGCACGTATTGTTGTGAAAGTTTGAATTTAAGTTTACTAAAGAGTGAGGGTAAGATACAGTACTGACGTTCGATCCGCGCGGCCTACTATGTTTCTATACGCAAAACTTAAAAGATATCCCTCGTATATGCCAAAAATTATTAAAATCGGATAAAGATACGTAGGTGTTTACCTTTTCTGTCACTCAGTATAGTTCTATTATTTGCGAATAAGTATTGATCGTTATAAATAATCACGTTTGCTCTGCAATAATAATTTTGGAAAATATAAGTCGTTTAACTTAACATACAAGAAAACACGCTGTTTTTAGTTTATTTCAATAATTATTTTTGTTAAATGTCATTATCTATTGTAATTATATAATATTTGTTTGAATTTCAATACGAATAAATTACATTAAAATAAAATAAATTTCTGCATTACTGCATTTTGATTAGGAACCTCTGTAATGCCAAAGACAAAGTTTGACACATTTTTGTTTTTTCCTATTCTGCTACCACCTCCACCGATACTGTACCAATTTTAAAAAACTGCAGAACTTTTTCGTATTTACCTAAAAATTTCATCAAAATTCTAGCTGTGCTTTTCTAGTTACAGACAGGCTAAGGATAAGCAAACAGATAGGCAAACAGACCGAAGGAAATGAGTTAAGCTTATTGGAGTCATATAACATACTTACATATCATTGTCGTATTTTTTTGCGATTGCAATACTTCGTCGCTAAGAAGAATCTTTCAATCTGGCATCGTTGCAGCTTCATCTCATCTATGGTCAACGATCCATCTGCCAGCGGTGCAAGTGGAAGGCGGCCTACTGCCGCGAAATCTCCTAATTTAACGACGCTACTACTAATTGATTAATCCTGCATTGTTTTTACGCTCGACGACCTCCAATACTGCTGCAAGATGTAACAGAATGTGCTTGCCACACGAGCAGTCGCGCACAAATATCAGCAACTTCGAATGGAAATCAGATATCGAAATTATATGTGGCACCTCTCAGAAGTCCAATACCGTTAAAACAAAGATCTATTGCTTATTTTAATCACATGACAGAGATGTAGAAGCTGGACACGATGTCTTTTTGTATTGTAAACAAAACTTGTTAATGTACATTCTTGAAACTTCTGTGTTTGTCTGATCCATCTCCATATCGCCCTAGCCATTCAATTAAACAAAATGTTGAAAAATGAGCTTTCTGCTGTGTGTGTTTTATTATACCAGGACGTATTTTCGCATCTCGCATCAAAAATATTCTGATTCGCTTTTTTGCATAATCTTATTCCCAAAGGGCCACCTTTATCGAAACTGCATACCACTAAGCCCAAAATTAAGTCCAAAGCTGTTGGGTTAATTATTTTTGAGACAAATTCTAAACATTGCCTCTTGCATCCGAAAATGGTTTTTTGGGTCATTCGTGTGAACATTTCTTTAAGGTTGATAGTTTCTGAACGGTTGTCTGCCTTTGATCTGCCAGGGGAAAAAAGCATGCTACATTACCGCCAGAATCGTCATACTCTAACCTCAGAGTGACGATGCTAAATAAAAGTCTTTCCGCGGTCGATTCTGGTAATAGATGGCGCTTTGCGCTGTCTTATTTCGAAAGCGATTTAATATCCGAAAAATTGCAGAATGTACCATTTCGACCCGGTAAACATTAAACCTCACACATAATATACAATATAATATACAATGAGGGCGCGCATCAATAACAACTAAAAAACATTTTTGTATGCATTAAAACAGCCACTTTGGCACAAGCCTAAATGACAGTGCACCGCAGCTTCTATGAGGACCTCAAAGAAACATTTTTAATCCGAACTGCTTAAGGTTAGTAGAACTGGGAAAACCCTCCTCATACAGATTGTTCCACGATCTCGGCCGTACGAGAGACGGAAGCCAGGCGGGTCTGTGCGCCAGGCACATTGGTGGAGAGTTCTGAGGAGCAAAGCCCGTTGGCATAGTAGTAGAAGAGGGCTAGATCGCCGTCGGGCCACCGGTGCGAAACGATCCCGAAACTGCTAGAGAAGAATCATCGATCAATCAAACAGCCCTCCTATTGTCAGCATCGATAATAATAATAATAATTAATAATTAACGTCTTTTATTTGTAATATTCTTACAGGAGGCGAGATTTAGATTATAAATCTATTCTACCATCTAACCCCCTTAACAATACGAGATGTGAAAAAAAGAATTTGTTGAAAATTAATAGGCACCTGTATACAATAACGACAGGATAAAGTATAATCCAAGTAAATACATAAGGAAAATATGAGGACACTTATGGGTTACAACCGATTTCGCTGCGGATCAAGAAGAACTTCTTTCACTTTTTTCTTGAATTTGGATAATGGATTGGTGTCTTTTAAACTGCGGTCTAAAGAATTATATGATTTGATCCCATTGTAAATGTATGTATTCTGAAATAGAGACGTGCTGTGGCGTGGAATTGAAAAAGTCTCTCTATATCTAATCCTAATACGATGCATATTCCCTCTACGTATGAATTCGTTTACTAAATATGACGATGTTTTTGAATAAAGAACCTTATGAGTCAGATTTAGGAGCTGGTACTTATACATTTTATCAATGTTCATCCATTTGAGTTCATTAATGGCAGTCCGTATGTGATCATCTTTTCTGAGATCATTTACAAGTCTGCAACATGTATTCGTAATACTTTGAATACGATTTCTTGTTATAATATCCAAATAGGGATAGTAAACCACTAAGCAATACGATATCTTTGAAAACACGAAATATTCACTCAATTGCTTTCTCGCAGATTTATGTAATATAGCCTTATTTGCAAATAAAACTCTGAGAATAGCGTAGCACTGAGTAATTAGATAGTTCACGTGTGCAACAAATTTTAAGTCAGCATCCATTATAATGCCTAGGTTTTTCGAATGATCCACAGGAATTAATTTATTACCTTTTAAATGTATGTCTATGTCCTTTTTTAAGGTATTCTTTTTTGTGCTATTTGCGTATACCAACATATTTGTCTTCAAAGGGTTCAAACGAAGATTATGACTACTACTGAACTTTTCAATTTGGGAAAGATCTTGATTAATTTTATTATTTGCCGTTTCCAAGTCATTACTCCTAAATGAATAGAAAATTTGAGTATCATCTGCAAAAAAAAATTGTATGCTGCATGATTTTACCTCTGTTTCTGAATCTGAGATATATAATGAAAATAATAGCGGTCCTAAGACTGATCCCTGTGGTACACCAGAACAAATTTTTGTTCCGTAGAATACTGTTGATTTAGACGAACTTTTTGATACCGATTTTCAAGGCAGGTTTGAATAAACGAAAGAGGTTTTTCAGAAAATCCATAATAACTGCATTTAGATACAAGAAGTGAGTGATTAATGGTGTCAAATGCTTTAGTAAAGTCAAGAAGTATGAGAGCTACTGCTTTTTGGTTATCAAGTGCCATTGTTATATTGTCTGTTAAATCACAGACTGCCGAAGCTGTATTATGACCTCGTCGAAATCCAGATTGTTTAGATGGAATAATTTTGTTAGAATATAAGTAGGCGCAGAGCTGCTCGTAAACAAAGCGATCCAATACTTTAGAAAAAATTGGCAGTAGACTGATCGGTCTCAGTTGACCATAGTTAGTAGGATCAGAACACTTATGTAGCGGAATAACTATAGCGCGTTTCCACTGATTGGGAAATATCCCCTCTCTAAACAGCAGTTTATAATAATAATAATAAATATGTGATGTAGTCAAAGCGGCAGCATCCCAAACATGTGAGCAGCACTAGAGGCTATGTCTCATCTGGGCCTTGCACAAATGAGGTGGTCATGGGGAGAAAAATACTTCTTAGCTCTAAACAAATTTTCCCATCAGCTGCCGCTATTGACGAGATGTGTTCGTGCCAGACTAGTCCCTTGCGGAAGCCGACCAGCTGAAGTAAATGTCCCTTCAGTAGAACTCGGCCATCCATCAAAACTGGATGAGCGCTAGGATGCTTCTTGTTAGTCAGTGTACAGTACCGAATTTTGGAACCATTAAACTGTTGGCGTGTGAGATGGAGAGGAGAACCCCTCAATTAAGAAGGATATTTTGCGGCCCCCTGTGCATAGCTTCTGTGGGAGGCCATAGAATGAAAGTTTGCATAAGAGTGCAGCATATCAGAGCTGATCAAACGCTTTCGTGATATCCAGAGTATGACATGAGACCATATTAACAATAAGAATATCCCTTAAAATGCTTTGTGATTGTCGAAACAAGTGTTTTGGGGGACATTTAGAAACATTAGCGTCATTAAAATTTTTTAAATTATTTTCGATGTCGGAAGTGACACATTTTGCATAAATCATCTATATCTTGAATACTATAAACTTTAGAAAGAGTTCAGTAAGACCTTTTTAGTTCAGAATGTCCCAAAGAACCTAAAAAAAACTTGTCTGGCAGAATAAAAACCACATATCGTCAACTTACAGCAAGACCACTACGTTTTTCTTTTTTTTTTAGAGTTGAGTACACATACCTGTTACAGATAAAACTGATCATCTTATGTTTTGTACATTCTGACTGAATAACATTTTACCCCCTTTTTCTGACTTGATTTATCATGTATGTGGTAGGCGAAACGTCGTACTATAAACGGAAATCCAGATATATAAGTAGTTGGTAGTAGATGTTACTGAAAAAACTTTGTTTGGATGAAACAAGCATTTTAAGAAAAACGTTTAAACAATTTTTGACGGAATTTTGGGCCTAGCAACATGCTAAATCGTTAAAAGCGGGACTTTCTGAATGAGATTATGCAAAAAACCAATTCAAAATATTTTTCAGAACAGATGCAAATATACTTCTTAGACTATGATGTCAACCTTCGGTTTTATCAATGACAATAAAACTTTTTTCACCTGCTCCATGATGCAACTGTGTTTTCAATCTGATGGACCTGTTACACTACTGCGCACTACGGCTTCTAATTCTAGTATCAAGTATGAATTAGGATAACTTTTAAACATTCAAAACAAAAGATAAATGATCACATAGCAGTGAACACCGCCACAAGGAATTTTCTAGGTAGAAGGGTGGATTCCATCTATAGATCTAGCTTATTATTAACGAACAGTTATGCTCAGACTCGGATAATTTGGGTTTGTTAATATGTAAACGTTGGAATTCTAGGCAGACCAGGGACAAATATATAATGTGAATAAAGGAGGGTATATTTACTATAAATAGTACCATATTTAGGGACATTAGATCCAAAATATGCATGAAGTTTAATAAAACCACGACAGCACTGAAACAATGCGCAGAATTTTACACGATTTTAATTATTCTATAAATCCATTGAACACTTTTCTGCTGCCAATCTTTCGCCGATAATCCTATATGCATATGTCTGCGTGACTTGTGTTTACAAGATTACAAGCTTTAAGATTCACACACGAATAAACAGCTGACATGGAAGCAATAGTACCTTTTACTCTCTGTTTTGCGGGTTACTTATTGATCTCTCCGATTACAAATTGAGATCATAGTGCACCTAGGATTTCCTGCGCACCTCTTTCTCTACTAATTAATCTATATCCTGGGCATGACTCATAGCCCATTCAGCGAACGTAAGGCGATCCAGGGGTGCAGCGCTTTTATGCTAAACAGCGATAGCCTTGGGATAGCTTTGACAGTTTTCAACATTATTCTACACTATTTAATCTGACAGTGAAAACTGTTGTCAAATTGACAAAGCCAGCCCATGGCGACTGCTGTTCAGCGTAAATGCGCTGCACCCCTGGATCGCTTCACGTTAGCTGAACGATCCCAATGTCAATATCAGTACTATGTGATGGCTAGGGTGCGATTCGCCTAAAGTGAAACGAGCTGCTTACTGCCTGTGCAGGCTATTAACAAAGACAAGGTACATGCAATGGACACACAATTAAACATTGGAACTGAAGATGTTTAAAACTTCTGCAACATGATTTATACTTGCCATTTACTAGAAACCATATACAGGGTGATTCAGTTTATTGTTGCATAACTTTAAGATTCGATAGAACTTTTAAAATTAATGCATAAAGTCTATATAAACATGGGTCGAAAAATGCGTGGCTATCGAAATACAGGGTGTTTAAATTTACTTTTTAAAATAGTTTTTTTTAAATATTTCGAACAATATTTGATGTATAACAGTGAAAATTGGTATAGAAGGTTTTTTTGGTACGACAAAACGAACCATGGGCATAGTTTTACTGTAGCCGCTAGAGGGCGCTCTGTACTGTACCTGTAGTGTATTAAAATGACCGAAAAATTTTTCTTAGTGCAATTTTTTGCTTTTTGAATATAAAAACTGATTCTTCACACTTTTCTGCATACAAAAACTACTCCTGAGAGTTTTCGTTATAGTTAGCCGTTTTTGAGATATTTCGATTTTTAAGGTTCGATGCATTTTTAATTATTTATGGGAAAATAATATTTTTTTTTAAATTTTCGATTTGGGCATTACAAGTAATTAAGATGATCATTTAGATTGTGTTTTTAAACACAGCAATAATTCCTAACTCCAAATAAACACAAAAAAATCAGAATATTAATTTGTTTAATTTTCCAATATTATTTTTAACAAATTAAATTAATTATTTACAACTAAAATGCTATTGGATAGTTAGGACAAACATACAAAATCTGAAGTAGTTGCTCGAAATGTAAACCCAATTGTTCAATACACAATTCACATCTACGAATGATCGAACGTGGTATAGCATTATTCAAATAAGGCCTTATTTCATCACATGCATTCCTGATTCTGTCTATTAGCATATCTCTTGTGGTTACGGGAGTCTAGTACACTTTTTCTTTTAGAAATCCCCACACAAAGAAATCTAATAGATTTAGATCAGGGGATCGTGGAGGCCAGGCGACTGGTCCTCCACGGCCGATCCATCTTTCTGGATAATTTTCGTCCAGCCAGTTTCTAACTATTCTCGGATAATGAGCTGGACAACCATCAAGCTGGAACCAGGCCAATCTTCTTAAATCGAACATAACATCATCCCACATATTTGCATGTTCAGCCTTTAAAAATTCCAAGAAGGTCGCAGCATTTAACCTTGCAGGCAAAAGATAGGGTCCAAATAGTCGATTACGGTAGATACCAATCCACACGTTCACACTAAATTCATGCTGAAAATTTCTTTCCCGAACTGCTTGCGGATTTTCATGCGACCAAATATGTTGATTATGAAAATTTACCACTCCACGTCTAGTGAAGCATGACTCATCGGTCCATAAAACGTTACTTAAAAACTCCCTATTATTATCAGTTCTATCAAGAATCTACTGACAAAATGTGATTCTTCGTTCTCCGTCCCCTGGCTGTAGTCCTTGCACAGGTTGCAAATGGTAAGGACGTCTATGGTCATTTCTAAGAACACGGTGAACATGGCTTGCTGAAATTTCCAAGGCACCAGAAACTCTCCTAACACTTGTGGTCGGATCTCTATCCAACTTACGCAGAATCATACGGGTAAATCTGCGCTGACGAACATTTATGTTTTGATCCCTTTGGAGATTTCCAAAACCATTTTCAATTATTTGGCGATGCACTCTTACAAATACTGAGCGAGATGGATGTCGTCTAGTTGGAAATCTTCGTGCGTATTCTCTGGCTGCTTCTGCTGCGTTTCCATTTACAAAGCCATACACAAAATGAATACCCTCTAACTCTTGATTGGAGAATAAAAATGGCATTTTTATAAAACTAACAAAAAAAACAGGTAAAAGAAACTAAATTTCGTGCATTCACAATTGCAAAAAAACGTTTCAGGTTTCAACAGACAAAAAAACTAACTGTCAACTAATTGACGTTTAACCTTATTCTGCTTTCAATTTCAAAAATATTTGCAGGCATAACCTACTTCTAAAAATTATCGAGATACTGACTTTTTAACGTTATTTTATCATAAATAATTAAAAATGCATCGAACCTTAAAAATCGAAATATCTCAAAAACGGCTAACTATAACGAAAATTCACAAAAGAGCTTTTTTATGTTGAAAAGTGAGAAGAATCAGTTTTTTATTCAAAAAGCAAAAAATTGCACTAAGAAAATTTTTCGGTCATTTTAATACACTACAGGTACAGTAGAGAGCGCCCTCTAGCGGCTACAGTAAAACTATGCCCATGGTTCGTTTTGTCGTACCAAAAAACCCTTGTATACCAATTTTCACTGTTATACATCAAATATTGTTCGAAATATTTAAAAAAAAACTATTTTAGAAAGTAAATTTAAACACCCTGTATTTCGGAAGCCACGCATTTTTCGACCCATGTGTATATAGACGTTATGCATTAAATTTTAAAAGTTCAATCGAATCTTAGTTATGCAACAATAAACTGAAGCACCCTGTATATTGTTTTTGCAATAATAGTCTTCAATGGGGTACTTTTAAATGAACTTCATGTGACCAAATACAACAGAAAACTAGCACTCTCGCCGAATTTACATTTACTTTTATCACGTTACGCAACAACGGATTACGATATGGAATTTAAGTATCGAAAGTAAAATTTGATTAGATCAAACATCCTTTCTTCACTTCCTTGCAATTCTCTTTTGCTATTAAAGGAAATTTATTGCTACTTAAAGGAACCAAACTCATTAAACAATCAACCAAGGATGAACCAAATGAAAAAAAATTCGGTTAATTTCTGAAAATCGGTACATTGGCGGCAGAGCTGCCAGCGGAAAATTTCAAAGTTCCCTTTTTGTTTCTGAAGCTTCCGGCTGTTTTCTAATCCCGCGTTCGTTCCCCAGTTTCTAAGCATTAAGGGCATAACTAAACAGCTTATTCCGGGGTACTCAAAGTTTTAAAATTACATCTTATCTAATACTAATTTTTTACAAAATCTTTTAAGGATTTTTTTTTCGATGGAAAATAGATATCTTGCTCTCGAAAAGTATTCTCGTCTACTTTCTTCTATGAATGAATATTTACTTTCCACAATTCCAACCTAAAATTTCGCGCCAAAGCTGAGACGTACCAAGTCTAGTGGAACGTGAAAAGCTGTTTGACGTTCTGTAGTCAGACTGTAACTTTGTTTCTGCCAAGGACAGTTTGACAGAAAATAGTGTTCTACCGTTATCGGAAAAAACCTCAATTTCTATTGGCTGCTACAAAGATTTAATGTGAATTCCTTTTCAATATAAGAATTTAAATTTTTTGGCACATCAGTACATACTGCATCTTAGGGTGTTTGACTCTGCAATTTCCATGCAACGCAGGAATTAAACGGATCAAGTCAGTAAAATAGGTCCATATGACTAGTCTCCAGTCCTTTCCCATTTAACAATGTTGCAATCTATAAATTTTGGTTCTACCCTACCACAAGACTATCTGACAACGTTGCGATGGCGAAACCTCGAACGCTAATCACCAGCTTCGACAGGTTTATCTCCTATTTTCGAGTTTGTGGTGGGTGTAAGAAATATTCTTGAGGGCAAATGTACGGAGAAATCTGATAGGTCCTCAGAATTATCGGGGCTGGAAGCGTATAAATGAGCTAACGCCAAAAAACTGAGATATACCCTCCCCCACACCCTACAACCCCCAACCACCAATTTTTAAAACCTGAGAAAAGAAGGAGAAGGAGCCCTCGAAAAGTCTAGAGATCGAGTTTAAACTATATTTTATATAATAATAACTCATTTCGTATTTTTTTCCGTAACTCGGCCGTTACTGCATCAATTTTCAAAAACTACAAGGTCTTTACGTCCTCGGCATAATAGCAACCCTCTGTCAAAATGTCATCAAAATCCTGGCGGTGCATTTCAAGTTTTAGAGGGAGGGAAACATAAAGACAGACATATAGGCAGACGACAGACTGACAAAAACAAGCAACATGTTTTATTGTGATATACATATTATATTATATAAAACCTGATTTTCAGTGTTTCATGTTTCTTAACAATTTTCGAAATACATTCATTGGCTCAATGCGTCGCGCAATGTTTTCTGGTTCATAGAAGGGTGTAAATCCAGCTTAATGCAGACAAGCGAATGGCAAAGCGCCCGAAGGCAGTCTACTATATCTTCGAACGAGGGACTAATAGAATTTCTGGGACGTTTAGTGGCGTGTTTCCAGTAGGATTTAGAGAAAAACGTGGGTCTATGTGCGGGCGGACGCATACTAATCTGTCTTAGGGCGACGCGTCGTGCAAAGTGTTGCGACGCTCTGAACAGACGCGTGACAGTGACAAACGGATCCGGAAAACAATAAAGACCGCGGTGCGGAGAGGGAGGTATATTCCGGCCGGAATGCAGGCTCAAATGGAGGGAAAGCAAGCGTGTGTGTTGCTACTTCATATACCATATTCCGTCAAGAGAAGCTTAGACTTAATGATTAATCTTTCGGGCGTTTGTATACGTCTCCGTTGTGTTTCTTGGAGCAAAAGAGTCTTACCATGTTACGATTTGAAATTCAAAATGCAAGCAAAATTTGAAATACATGGAAAACACAATATTCCTCCTTAGGATTCTTATTTGTAATAACACGACAGGAAGGTCTCCACCTCGGCTTTGTCGCACTCTTTCATCGACATCCTTTATCGCTTTTGCATAAATGTGAATGAATGTCATTGAGACAGCGTTAAATCCTTGTCATTCATTCACGAATGACTGAGGGCCTGTTAGACACCTTTGACTGCATACAATAGAAAACTAAATGGTATTCAATCATATAATTACCACATTTCATCATTGCAAAATAATCATGGAGTAGGTGGTGTCAAGTAGGTTTACTTTGCACTTGCCTCGCGACGCCGTTATAAAGGATAATGTTCAGTAAAAGTTAGTTCCTCTAAGAAAAAAAGTTAAGGCTGAAAGCGTATAAATATATTAACATCAATAACAGCCGTACACTCCCAATCATTCTCTACTAAAAATGTTTCCAAAAATTATCATGATCTTTTGAAACGTCATGAAACGGAAATTGAGCGATTTTTGTTTCATTCCTCTTTGGCCTTTGTCTCCGGCGCCGGACCGGATAATTTTTTTTGTCGTTGGCAAAGTAGTACCCCTGTGTGAAAATTTCAATTCGAGTACTACTTTCCAAGTTATATACAGGCCAAGGATTAGCGGACAGGCAGACAGACTGACAGACAGACCTAGCATGGTCTAGGCTTGATCCCAACTAGGACAACGAACGAAAGCTGAGCAACTATTCTCTATTCATAGTATAAGGTCTATCAGCTGACAATGCGAACTGGGAGACAGTTCCAGCAGACGGGTTGCTGTCTGACTATGATAAACCTTTTACTCTGGATATGGATGTGGATAGAGAATAGTTGCTTCGCTTTGGTTCATTATCCTACGTGCGACCAAGCCTAGGCCTTGCTGAGGAGCTGCCAAATAGCACAAAACTGCTCTCCATAGTTGGCCGTATTTGGTCGGACGAACAAAACCTATATTACTAGGAAGAACTATGTTTTCAATATAATTCAAAAACGGAAAAGCTTTGGGAAGTTATAAGATCGTTCCAGTAGAGGTAGAGTTATGAGCGGAAAACGATTATTTTTGTTTCTCGACGTTTTTCAGTTTCTCGATCATTTTGGGCCGTCACGTTCCCAGAATTACAGTATTGAATCAGTGTACTTGATCCCATTTCTGATCATTATATATTTTTTTTGTGGACGAACCCTGGTAAAAGGATGTAAGAAGTACACAATACGTCTTAACGACGTAGTGCCGTTAACAAAAGATAGGAAACTGCTGAACAACAAGCATCATACTTTTGTTAAACTACTGCAGAAAGCAACATATACAGTACGCAAAAAATAAGCACCATTATCTTTAAGGAAGGCACACGAAAGAGAAAATGGATTATCCTTCCTCTAAATCATCTTATTTATTCTTAGAGGATTGTTTTTTATCGATGCCCCTCATCTTATCTGGATACTTTATGACAGTGTGCCGGCCCGGTCGGGAAAGTCAGAAAACTTGGCGAACGGGCAACAACCACTCCCGGCGCGCTTCACCAAACTTCCCACCAACTTTCCCGGCTGAATATAATATGTTTTACCTTCATTCCAATGAGGTATTTTTCATAGAGTTCAGACTTCGACAACATACGTTTAACTGAAGACGATAAAACGCAGTACGCTAAGGGTGTCTTGAACGCTCGCGAACGAAAACTGGATGACTAAGGTTACCTCCATAGTGATGGAGATGCTTTACTGCGATGCTTTTCTCTTCTATTTTCAAAGCATTATCAGAACCAGCGTGGCCTTGAAAGAATCAGTCCACCTCGATAACAGGTAGGAAAACCAAAATAAAGCGAGGAAACGAAGATCGCCCCCATGAACCCCCTCATCTGATGTCCAAGCATACATACATATTTAGTAGTAGTAAACAAGCAAACGATATCGTCCTACCTTGTCAAGAATTTGGTTGGTACACAGTCCATGAAATAACCTGTTGGCGAAGAGTTTCCATTTATAAAGTTAAAATACAGGTCTGGATACATTGGTGAAGCGGATTTTACAATTTTCAGGCGTTTTCGGCCATATTTATATAACCTCGGAGTGACGTAAAATTGACAAGTTGACTGTTATTCCTGATTCATACTACATAAGAAATTACTATACAGAGTGTCATGACCCGCAAAAAGAAGAAGGAAGAAGAAGAACAACAAGAAAAGCCCGAGAATGAAAAAAACTGCATCACAGATGAAGAAAATCGACCTGATTCGAC